ATATACATATACATATACAGACACAGAAACACTCACATGCATATCACATTATTTAAGTGGACCCTAAGCATTGTCAAAACCTTTCAACTATGTCTTTCAAGTGTAGTCTTCAAAAATGAAGGCCTGGGTGGTATGATGAAGTGCGAAAAAGTTCTCATTGCACTGGGAAGCCCTTGATCAAAGTTCAGAGAGGTTCTGGAGCCTGAGCCACTAAAGGTGTGTCCAATCCTTGTCCTTGCCAGACTTCATACACAATTCATATGAAACTATCAAGCTGCAGGTCCGCCTTTCCTTAGCCTGCTGAGAAGCAGTTTGGATTGGGGAGAGGAAATGCAGGCTGGGAAACCTGAAGCAGCAGTCCCAAACAGTGTGCAAGCTATTCCCTTGACCTGATCCCTGCTTTTTGTATTCTCTGTAAGCCCTCTTACCCAAGGTAGCAGTTCTACCATGCCCACCATGTTCATGTCCACCATGGTGGCCATGGGCTTGTCCCAGATTATTTGCGACCCAACTTGGGACAGCAGTCCCACACTGGACTTGGTTTTCTTGTCAGAGCAGTGGCAAAATGATCTGAAGGGGGAGTTATATTTGTCCCCATTGTCACAGTTAGATCATGTTCTGGTGGCCTTGAGATTCTCTTCTGCTACCCCCCTTTGCAGGGAAGCAGGACCCATTCAATTGGTCTGCCCCCAGGGACTGATGGACCAATAGAGTTCGAAAGGGAGCTGGGGGTTATACCCGAGGATCTGCTGCATGGTCCAGCGAAGGTCTTGGCTGCTACCTGGAATAGGAAAATGTTTGAGGCCTTGGACAAGAGGTTGCATGACCTCTCCTGACCCATCGAGCCTGATACTCCCCATGGTTTACTGAGGAGCTGAGGGTCTTGAAAAGGATTAAGAGACTTTTAAAGTGCTGCTGGAGGAAAACAAGGACCAAGCCGATTGAACACAGGCTAGACCCACTATTAAGGCCAACTTGTGGCAGTAAAAACAGCGAAAGGCCAATCTTTCTCCACTCTTACTGAATCTGAAGAATGCTGCCCAGGGCCCTGTTTAAGATCACCCAATCCTTTTTAGGCAAGGAGGCCCCAGCTGCCCACATACAGGGCCACACAGAGGAGTTTTCTGGGCACCTGGAGGATAAAATAGCTTGGATTCGTTCCCAGTTGGATACCAACCATGAGGCATAGCCTGTAGAGATCCCCAGGGGATGGACTTACATTATATGGGAACAGTTTGATCCTGTTGAACCCAAGGAAGTGGACAGGGTCCTCTGGACTTTCATTGCCACCACTTGTTTACTAGATTCATGACCCTCCTGATATGTGGGAGGGTCCGGGCAATGGTGAATTCATCCTTGAGAGATGGAGTGTTTCCATCACTGGATCCCACCATATTGGACAATTTTCATCCACCTTTTTAGGGAAGGTGGTCAAGAAGGTAGTGGTGTTGCAGCTCCAGAGGATCCTGGATGAAACGGATTATCTGGACCCTTTTTCAGTCAGGTTTCAGACCCTGATATGGGATGGAAATAGCATTGGTTGCACTCATGGATGATCTCTAGCAGGAGCAGGATGGGGATAGTACATTCATCCTTGCTCTTCTTGACCTCTCAGAAGCTTTTGATACCATTGATCATGGTATCCTTTTGGGTCAACTTGGGGAGTTGGGAGTGGATGGCACAGTTTTGTGCTGGTTTGCCTCCTTCCTCCAAGGTCAGTCCCAATTGGTGTTAATTGGGAGCGAGAGGTCCAGCCCTCGGCCACTCCACTGTTGGGTGCCACAGGGTTTGGTACTCTCTCCTCTCCTTTTTAACATCTACATGAAACCACTGGGTGAAATCATCCGTCACCATGGAATGAGGTATCATCAATATGCAGATGATACCCAATTATATATCTCCATCCCGGGTGACTTGAGTGATGCCGTGACCACCCTTTCGCGGTGCCTGGAGGCTGTGGGGATCTGGATGGGATGCAACAGGCTTCAGCTGAACCCTGGTAAGATGGAGTGGCTGTGGATTGGAGGTCCCTCTATATCTGGTGGTGTACCATCTTTGGTTCTGATGGGGTTGCACTATCCCAGATACACCCAATGAGTAATCTGGGGGTCCTTCTGGACTCATGATTCCTGCTCAAAGAGCAGGTGGCAGTCGTGGCCTTTGCTCAACTTCATGTTGTGCACCAGCAATGCCCCTTCTTGGATCAGGAGGCCCTCTGGTCAGTCAGCTGCATTGGGTGCCAGTTTGCTTCTGGGTCCAATTCAAGGTGTTGGTCATCATCTTTAAAGCCCTACATGGCAGGGGTCCAGGTTACCTGAGGGACTATCTCACCCCTATCACATCAACCTGTCCCACCCAGTCATGCAGAGAGGACATGTTATGGACCCCGTCAGCAACAGAATGTTGGCTGGCAGGTCCCAGGAGGACAGCCTTCTCTGCCATTGCCCCTGCCCCTTGGAATATTCTCCCCCCAGAGGTGAGGCAGGCCCCCACCCTCCCAGCTTTCCAGAAAGAACTGAAGACCTGGCTCTGACAACTCACATGGGGTGAGAAGAGACATAATCAACCCTGGGGGTAGCTGGCACCTTGCAGATGCTCCCTGAGTTCACCATCAATCTTGGAATATATTTATTATTTGTAGGACTATTATGTTGTATTTTAATTAATATTCATCCTTCTACTGTAAATTGCCCAGAGTCATTTCCAGGGAGGTGGGCAATGACAAATGTAAAATATAAATATATAAATATCTTCTCTCCCTCCTTTTCCTTCAGCCATTTGGCTTGAGAGTAAGGCTTACAGAAAGGCACTCAGACGGAACTTTAGCCTGGTTACATTAAGGAGTGGTACTACCACCTTATTACACTTCATCTCCTCCTTTCATGCCACAATCCCCCTTCAGTTTTGGCAGGTACCATCACCTGTCCTTCCTTCTCTCCTGCACTGCTATGTGCAGGGAAGTCCCACTCATAAATAGAATAAATGGGCAGAAGGATCAGACAGAGGAAGGCCCAAAATCTATTCAAACATGTTCAGAGATCATGCAGATCTGGAGTGTACAACTCATGTTATTCATGTTCGTTCTGCTCAGCGTTCTTAAGATATGGCAGTGGCTGGAGCTTCTGGCCAACCTGCAAGTCAAGTCCTGTTTGTCAAACCAGGGAGTAGAATGAAGATGTGTGAATCAACACCACAATAATCATAATTTAGAGTTAGATACAGTGAATCCTGCTGTACTTTTAATAGCAAATCTGGGAAAAATTTCTGTCTGCCATTTTGGAGTACCACTGTGGGCAAGGAGGATTGAGGTGGTTTCTTTTGTGTATATGGAAGGGTACCATATTTCTCAGCAGGTCTATGTGATTGCCAGAGACATCAAATCAACTTCAAGAGAGACTTTCATTTCTCTGACAGCTACAGCACAGTTCTTTCTTTCTTTCTGAACCTTTCCTTAAGGAAGATACCATTTCGATTTAACATGGCAAATCAAATGCCTCTTCCTTTCCTCCCTTGCACAAAATTATTGTCAAGGAGACATTTTCAAACTGAAGACTGTGCTGCTCTGTGCAGCACAATGTTTTTGTCAAACACCCAACTTTGTAGCCATTATAATAAGAAGTGTTGTCAATTTTTTTTAAAAAAAATCATTTTAGCACTAACGTGGCTGGTTCTGGCAGTCAATCAAATCTGGCACTGTACAGCACAGGAAGCGGGCGGAGGGGGGAGAACGCCTAGCTCATCCTTTCGGTACTGTCAGCGTGAGGGAATGCTGGACAGTACACAATCTGGGAGTCTGGAAGAAGGACTAAACCATATTCGTTGGACCTGCTTATCTTCATCTCTCTTGCTTGGAATGGCAATCTGAACTATCTCAACCCTGAGAAGATGAACATCAGTTAGAAGAAGATAGTCCAGTATAGATATATGTGTGTGTGTGTATATATTTATATTTATATATATATGCTCTATCATTTCGTGGAAGCAAATTACAAGAGGCAATCCATATTACACTACTCAGCAGACTAATGTACACATAATACTCCCAGGTACTGTAATTTGCATGCTTTGGTGGACAACAGTCCTCTTTAGAAGAGATGAATGGCTGAAGGGGCAGTAAAGAATATATTGGTTACACTTTTGCTGAACTACCCTTTATTGATATTTATTTGTGAGCGCTTGAATGTGATGCATGATTGCTATTTATAAGCATATTAAATAGCCACAGGGATAACTCCTGCCCGAAAACAGCTTATCTCTGTGCTATAATATACTCATAAGAATTATTAATACATCTCAACATAAAACTGATACCACTGCTGTTGAAGAATACATGTAATATTAATAAAGAGTTATGAAAAAGCATCCTGGTTTAATGTAAGATATTTTGGAGGATGTGTGATTTTTTTTTCAAAGGACGAATACTTGTTATTTAACAAGACAGAAACATCCCATAATGTAGATACCGATCAGAGGAACTATTCATCCAAAATAAAGCATTTACAGCAGTACTCTAAACATCTTTACAGTACTGCTGTACTCACTTTCCTATGAGTACGACCCACTCAATGCAGTGACTATAAGCTCTTATTTTTGAGTAAACATGCATAGGATTTTTTGCAAACTGGTTACAATGACTAGATAAGACTCTGTTGAACTAAATATCATTTATGTCCAAGTCGATATGCTTGATGATGCAATGTACATTCCAATTACTACCATGGGAAATCTATTTTTAAATACATTATTTCTTTAGTAAATATCTCATAAACCTAGTTCTCTAAGTGTTGCTCAGCTGTTGAAAGCACAATGACAAAGCCATAAACATGGCAATTAACTGGAAAAACCAGCATGCAGAAAATCCCAGTAATTACAAATCACTGCTAGATACAATGCTCAAGCTAGTTGTCAGAAGCTAACTTTTCCTACCCTGGTAAAAATAGGCAAATGTCAAACACTACAACATTACTTGCTGATATTTTTTACTTTTTCCCATTCTACAGATGTCAGAAACAGAGACAGACAAAGTGAAAGTTAGAACACAGAGCTTTGAAAATGACCAGCGAACAACTTCAGTGTTGCTGAAAGAAGGTAAGTTTCATTGCTTATATTGGAATTATTATTATCCTAAAATATTGAGAAACTAAATTTTCAAAGAATGAGATTTTATGAGAGCGACCAAGAAAGCTTTCAGAAGGCTCAGAAGAAACAAGTTTCTAGGACTAACTAGAGAAATATGACAATGTTAGTCATTGTTTCTTATTCCACAGAAAAATCTAAATTTGCCTACCAGCATCTCTTTTGGCAGCCACTAGGTTTTCTTCATGCTATAATGTGTATGTTTTATTTTAAAAGTTGACCAAATTACTCTAAGTTTCATCATTTGTATTTTCTTCAATATAAAATATTTGGCAAATAAATGGGTTATTTATTCATTTATTTAAATTTTATTTCATCTTTCTTCTGAAAGATCAAGGTTTTATATGTAATATATATTGCTTGTTTGGGCTATGTACTTGATATATCTTGGAAGTCTCCAGTATTGGTGATACTTTCCTTGTTTTACAGTTTTGGCTTCATTTGTTTTGATCGGCTCTGCCGACTTTTGCTATTAGAAGGAATGAAACTCCTGTGACCTTTGCATTTATATGTATGTCTGAATGAAAGGAATTCCAAATGATTACAGTTCTAGAAAAGTATTTGTTTTCAAGCAGAAGAAGTCTATTCTTGTTGTAATGTTGGCATCTTGGCATCAAATAACAAATTCATTCAACATGCAATTATTATTTTGGAGAACTGTGAAGTAACAGGTTAGATTTGAGACTTGAGATAGATACATATGTAAAATATATTTTTATCTCTCACAGGGTTTGCACCCTTACAATAAATGTGTAGGAAATAATTCTTCTGCAAAACGAGGCAAATTTTGATACTAGATTTAACTCTTCCAACTTCAACTCATTAATAATATGGATTTTAAAAGTGGCCAAAAGTGGTGGGTGGAGTGGGTTAAAGGGAATGCCTCAAGTTTCATCACAGAATGTAGCTAATGGAATAAATTAAATATGATTTGGTTTTATTTTCTTTCTGAAGATGAAAGCACACATATCAACAAAGGGGGAAGTTTAGCTTTTCATGCCTAGCTAATTTGAGCTGTTGTCCTACCTCTTGGTTCTCTCCCTTAGTTTTATAGATCATAATGGTCATTGTTCACTTCATCAGCACTATTTAGATATGCACCTGAAATCTATGGGAATTCTCAATACAATGAAACAGGAACACGGTCCAGGAGACTTTGGTGCTAATACTTGTAGCAAATGTGGCAGAATTCCTGTAAGAGTAGCAGAGTTCCTCAACTAGAAGGTTTTCATAGCAACAGCTCTTAGATGAATTTTTGTAATGTGTTGTGTGTGTGTCTGTGTGTGTGTGTGTGTGTGATCTTTCACCATAGAGGTAAACTGGATATGTGCATTGTGGAAGGAACATAAGTTAATGGTAAGGCATCTGCTTTAGATGAAGATTTAGACTTCCCAAGTCAGTGTAGATTAGCCAGATCCTGATGAATGAGCTAGATTAATTACTTTCTTGATTTGCTTAAAGGCAGCTTTTTCTGTTCCCGTGATGTAACCACATTATGTGTTTCTTCACCTGTGCTTCATGGTGTTGACTGATGCATATTACTCTCATGTCACAATGTTGGCTAATGTTCCTACAATTTTACCAGGGAAAGGAGAATTCATCCATGTGGGCATGTGTGTGATTTTCCCCCAAGCATCCCTATGTAATGTATAATATATTTCTGGCACCTACCTAGACAGCATTATACATTCTGTGTAATTTGAATAACTTATTATTGTGAAGGCTGAGGACAAAAATGAGAAAATCAGGAGGTGCTGAGTTAGGAAGTGGCTAACAAAAAATGATAATGATTCCCCTTCCCCCTATGTTTTGTTATTCTCCCTGTATGATTTTTATATTTATTTATGCTTGCTACACATGATTTTGAAATATTCATTTTCAGGTCTCACAGCAAAAGACTGAGTTGTGTAGTAGAACTTGATCCTCCCTGCTAAGAAGGAAAGCTGCATGTTCTTTTAGCATCCAATTTTAAAGGAAAGTTATTTTTATTCATGGTTTTATATTGATTATTTTTGCCTTCTAAAAGAAGCAACCAGGAACCACAGTGGAGAAAAGATGCTGAAAAAGTATGGAGTGAAATGCCCTGCATTTTCAGATCTTAGAGAACTTTTCACAAAAACAATACTTGATATGTCCTTAGCACAGCATTGTGTACAATAGAAAAAGTTTGTGATCTTTACAAGATATCCTTTAAGTATTTATGGGCTAAGCAGGTCATCACCTTTTACTCATCATTTGCATTAGAAATACTGATGTGAACACTTACATATATTTATCCAGAAGAACAGACTAGGAACCAGAGATATAGGGCATGATGTCCAAAGGTTAAACACTTTGAAGTCCATTGATTTCAAATAGAGGGAAGGAGCTCAACTTTGAGAAAAGGGAGGTGTAATAGTGGATCCCTTTCAGGGCTACATGGGTGGGCTAAGCTGGTGGTGGGCAAACTCAGTATCAAGAGCAGACCACAGTCTATGGGTTGTCCACTGGTACCCTGCAGTAAGCCATTATAGGAAATAATAATAACAACAACAACAACAACAACTGTACCATCAAAGCCAAGGATGAAACTGTAGATCATCTCATTAGTGGCTACAGTAAAATTGCTCATTTTATGGCATCATAATAGGGTTGCAAAAATTGTCCATTGAAATTTATGTAAAAAAAAAAAACCTAGAATCATTTGTTCCAAAATGTTTTGCAAAATAAGAAGATCAAAATTCAAACTAATAAGCTCTTAGAACATAATACACCAGATATTACTGTTATGGAAAAGAAGAAGATGTGACAATACCTGGAGACAGTCAGATTGATGAAAAACAATTGAGATCAACAGTTTTTGGAGAAAAAAATCAATTGTCATGCCAATTGTAATTGTCTCGGTGTAATTCTGAAAGAATTAAGGAAATATTTAGAAATCTTAAACTTGGTGGACTTGATACCATTAATTTTACAAAAGACTACCCTACTTTGAACAGCATACATTTAATAATGATATCTCCATCCCCCTTAAGTCCCTGGCTAGGATCTGAATCACTGGAGTCAACATCCATTAATATGCTGGATATATTAGGCCCTGTGTTATTGCTTTCTTTTTGCTTTAACTATGCTGAAATGACTTTTTTAACTTGTACACCATCCAGAATATGAGTTGGATGGTGTTATGAATTTGAAAGAATAATAACAATGGTGGTGTTATTTTTCTCCCAGAAAGCACATGGGGCCAGATATGCCTCTCTCCTTCCTCCATTTTCTCATTACATCAATCCTCTTCAGACATTGTGCAGCAAACCAGAAGGTGAGGACCAGTGCTGCTGATAGAGGTACAGGATCCAAGCCTGTCCATCAGCCAAGGCTCCTGAACGTGAGACATTCAAGTCTAAACATCAAGGAACAGCAACAGCTGAGCCCAGTCCCATCAAAGGTGCATTTCCCTTCAAGGGCTCCTTGCCATACAACTCAATGTGAAGTTAGCATGAATGGGATACATAGCAAGGGTGTGAACTGGACAAGTGGATGAGGCTGAGGAAATGTGAAAGGGTTCTAGTAATAGGACTAGATTCCAAAGTCCTGTTCAGACATTATCTCAACAGGAGAAACAATGAGGAGGACCTCCTATCTCTTAGTCATGCAGGTGGTGTAAGTGAAGACTACTGGTTATACTTGTAACAAATGTAAAAAAAACAAACCATTATATGGATTAGTATAAAAGGGATTCAAAATAGCAGTGCCAGCATCATATGGACTTATAGATATTAATAATGTTTCCTGACCACTAGGCTGAAGACATTAGAACAGTGTTTCTCAACCTTAACTACTTTAAGATCTGTGGACTTCAGTTAAAGTCTGAAAGTTGCCAAGGTTGAGAAACAGTGCATTAGAATAAGGCTGTCATTAGTCATATCACTGGGTATCTCTGGTCAGATATGACTTGCAGGATTTGAAGCACACAAATCTTCATCTTCAGGCTGAACTGAGCCATAGCAAGACAGATAAAAATAAATAAACATGTGTCTGTCAGTACTGATAACTCAATTGCATTGCCTTCATGTTGTTGAAGAAATTGTTGCTGTTGTAAAACAGACATTACAAAGCTTCAAAGTTGGGGTTTTAAAAAAATTGTTAATAGATGTACCAGCATTCATATTGGGGGGTTTATAATGAAACCATGATCTGTAAGAATAGTATAAATTTCCCCCATATCTCAGCAAAATTATAATGTCCAGAACAATGAACTTAACGACTGCCTGCAATTGGAGAAAACTATATTAGATAGTGAAGAGTATATTCAAAACTAGAACTTTTTTGGTTTTGGATTTGCAGCCAATCACCTGGGGAAAAAAATGGGTGGATTTTTTTCTTTTCAAACCAGCTGGCTTTCTTCTTTCAAAGAAGAAGAAAATCTGTGCAGAGGCAGATTTCATCAAAAGATTCTTAGTGAAACAATTATTCATGGGGGCAGCAGATAAAACAGTCAAAATGCAAGGGATCAGGATGAGGAGGAAGATGGTTGGTCACACAGTCAGCCAGATGTTTAGACTGGATTTGGCATTTTTATCCACCTAT